TGTCCAAATAGAAACCAGCAACAAGTGGTGTCCCTGAGAGGTCCATATGGGGACCAACGCTATTTCATATCTTCATTAATGACATAGCGGTATTGCGTGCAGCCTCAGCAGGTTTGTGGGTGACACCAAGCTAGGTGGTGCAGTTGACACACTAGAGGGAAGAGATGCCACCCAGAGGGATGGTGGCAGGCTTCAGGAGTGGGCCTGTGTGAACCTCAAAGTTCAACAAGGCTGAGTGCAAGGTCCTACACCTAGGTCAGGGCAATCCTTAACATCAGTAGAGACTGGATGATGAATGGACTGAGAGCAGCCCTGTAGAGGACTTTGGGATTCTGGTGGGTGAAAAACTGTACATGAGCCAGCAATGTGCCCTTGCAGCCCAGAAAGCTGATCATATCCTGGGCTGCATCACAAGAAGCATGGCCAGTAGGTCAAGGGAGGTGATTCTCCCTCTCTGCTCATGTGACTCCACTTGGAATTCTGCATCCAGCTCTGGGGTCCCCAGCACAAGAAAGATATGAATCTGTTTGAGCAGGTGCAGAGGAGGGCCGTGATCAGAGGGCTGAGAGAAGTGGGGTTATTTAGCTCTGAGGAGAGCTTATTGTGGCCTTTCAATGTATAAAGGGGGCTTATAAGAAAGACGTAGTGAGAGGACAAGAGGCAATGGTTTTAAACTGCAAAACGATAGACTTAGATTGGACATAAGGAAGGCATTTTTTTACAATGAGGGTGGTGAGACAGTGGAACAGGTTGTCCAAAGCAGTTGTGGACACCCCACCCCTGGAAGTGTTCAAAGTTAGGTTGAACGGGGCTTTGAGCAACCTGTTCTAGTGAAAGATGTTTCTGCCCAGGGCAGAGGGGTTGGACTAGACAATCTTTAAAGGTCCCTTACAACCCAAGCCATTATGTGATTCCATGAAATATCCTAGTAATTTATCTATTGCTTATTCTCTCCAAGCAAGATGTTTACCCTAACCACTGTGTAGCTGAATGAAAGCAGGGGACAACAGCCTCTTCACGCAGTTTCCCACTTGATTTTCTGCAAAATAGCACTGATGTGTCTTCTGAGACAGTTTACTAGACTGAACTCTGCAGGTAACACAAGCAGTTCCCTGTAAAGGGCAGGAATCACAGGTTTTCCTGCCTTGAAACTCAGCATTGTGGAGACAAGCCCACCTTTGGCATCTAAATTCCTCTCTGGATCAAGCTAGAGCTTCCCATTTATACTTCCAGGTGCTAGTGATGTTTGATACTTTGGACATCCTGTTCCAAGCACTTCATTGGTCCCTTTGAATGATTACAGAAAGCTAAGATGAGCAAATTAAGTATCTTCCAGTTCATTTGCATAACATTTTCTTTAGTTATCAGGGAGCACACGTTTAAGTCTATCACTTGGTGCCAGGCCAGTAGCCAGTGTTTCCAACATCGAGAAACTGGGCAGTACACATCAGTCAGCTCATTGCAAATTGGCAGTTAAAGTGATGGTTGGATGAGTTCACAGGAGCATAATGTTATTAATTAAACAGCAGCTGGGTTAATCAAGATAGCAAAAGTAATTTGTTGGAATAAATATTTTATTAGTGTGTCCATCAATAAAGCAAAAGAAGAGGTTTTAATTAATTTATAAAAAATTCACACTGTGGTGGCTGTAATTCTGTTTAAGGATCTGGAAACAATTCTCATCGGTAGAAGGGTATATTCCCACTTTATCACTTCATGTTAATTGTACTGTAGATATCAGTTGCCCAACTATAATTACTAGTATGATAGTTACAAGCCAAACATTGTTGTCCGTCTCTGAACATCAATACCTGATAACTGATGCTAAAGGGCTCTTTTTCCTCTTTGCTGCTTTGTTCTTTCAGGAATGTGCATTCTGCCATTAAATTCCAGAAGGATATTCTTGGAATATGGTGGATTATAATACCTACCAGCATGATTAGAGACCTGATCTTCCTTTTTCCCCTGAAAAGATCATGAAATTGAGAGAGGGTGAATATATTTTTTTAGTTCTTCTGGTATTAACAACTAAACAGATGGGGGATATTGCATATTTTCAAGAAGTTTGACACAAACACAACAGGTGGCAGTGATTTCTGTCTGACTGAGGAGTATTTTTCTACTAATGCAGAGAAATATAAAGAAACACTGAGAAGCAGAGAGAGACTGCTGATTTTGCAAGAAGGTCATAGATTAGACAAAGTGGGTTTCAAACACTGAAGACAGTGGGAAACGATTTACTTTACGGAGAAGATCTACTGAAAGAGCAAGATGTAGGCTGTTAGAACTGTTAAAACAATCAGGCTTGCCATGCCCCATACTTTTTTCAAGGGAAGACCTCTTGGGGTATTTTTCCCCTGTTGCTTTCTTCTTTGTGTCAGGTGGCTTACTACGCATTGGAGTGGAAGTCTCTTCCTGTGCTTTATTCACCTGTCCCAACATTTTAGACATGCATGAGATTTGCTGGAAGCCCTTGCAGATAGATGTTTTATATAATATGGGTGGATATGGAGTATATAAGTACATATAAAGAAAGAATTTTATTTATAAAAGTAAAGTTGATTTAATACAGAATACTAATAAGAAGAAAAATAAATAAATACACAATTGGAAAATGGTAAAGAATTCTAAATATTTGATCTTCCTTCACAAATGTTTAACACACAAGCTTCATAATTCATTTTTATCACATTCTTTATTTGCTCAGCAGTTTTACTCTTCAAAATATTTCAGTCATGTTTAGGGAAAAGAAACAAAGCCAAATGACTTACACAGTCAAATTCCACAACATGAATTATGGACAGGAAATATTGCAAATAAACAGGTGACATTCCTTCATGAAAAGCCACCTGTTTTCTGGTGTTTGTGTGGTACTAATGCAATAATTATTTAATCTATATATATAACATTGAGGTAGCACAAGCAGTATACCTCAAGTATGATTGTTTTTTTGATCCCTTGGAAGCCTTTATACCGTATTACTTCAGCTGTCGTGCCTGAAAGTTGCTCAAAACTGTGACGTTTAGGGGAAAAAATGTGCTTAATCCATCAAGGAGTCTCTAAGCCAGTGCTGGTGCTGGAGTTGTAGGGCAGCAGAACCACAAGATCCCATTTTCAGTAACAGCAGGAGGCTGGACTCCTCTTACCTGCCCACAGAGTCTTCAGCAGGTAGAAGTGGGCTCGCAGGGAGCCAGCCACCCTGCTGTGGCTCTAGGTCCCATCCAGCTGCAGGCACCACGCCACCAGGTGCAGCGGGGCTTGGTAGCTCAGGCAGAGCTTGGTCCTGGCCATCTCCAGCCCGTGCCTCCTCCAGAGCTGGTTTGCATTCAGCCAGCTCAGAGCATCAGTACAACAAAGTGGTGTCCACCAAACAGAGGCCGTGGCAATACAGCCCCAGTAAATTGGACCCCAAAAAAAGCTAAGAAGATGCCGATACTGTGGTCTGCCCAGAGTGAGAAGCAAGTTGTACTAAAGTCACTTTCCCAAAACTCCAGCGAGGTGAATGCGCTGGAGAGGAATCTCTGACAGGAGTGTGCCACAGCGCTGAGGCAGCTCTCTTTCACAAGTAACTCCGCTTTAGTGTACTGCAGCTTAATTCTCTGTGGGGAAGATTAATCCCTTGGAGGAGGATTAAGCTACAGTGAACTAAGGCCACTTTATTTCTGAATGGGAAAGGCCACACAGGGCTTTAATGTACTTCATCCTATGTGCATTGATTTCACAGCTTTAGCTAATTCATCTTAACTTCCCTGAATTCCCTTATGTGGACAAGCTTTTTGTGTGCAGAGAGGCTCTTGGAGCTGCTTGTGAAGCTCCTCATGCCGCCCAACAAGAAAGCAGGTTGGAATCATATCTGTGCCTCTGAAGGAGCTTATACCTCTCTAGATACTATTAAATTACTGCTTTCTCAGATAGTTGATCTGTGACATCCTTAGAAGAACCATTTTAATTAGATTTTTTTGAATGGACCAGAGGAAAAGCAGTTTTCTTAAAACTAATCTCTGGGTTATTTTGGAAATCTCTGATGAACAGTGTTTTCAAGGCTTTCAGATAGCATGAATTGTGTACAGCTGCACAAACAATATTTTCTCAAGCATAGGCATGTCTGGGCAGTGCAGTTTAATAGATTTCCTTGCCCAGTGGGATTTTCTCCTTCGTTGGTGGTGGTCATAAGAAAAACATTTTGTCTATTTGGAAGGCAAACAAGAGGAGTATCTATTCCCTGTATTCCCTGACCCTAAAGATCTTAATCCCTTCCTCTTGGTGGCACAAGTGACACAGATCTGGGTTGAGGAGAATATTTTTGTGGGAGCTGCTGTTAAAATAATGTCATGATTTTGCTGGTGGTGCCCTTTGGGGAAATGGGTCTGCTCATTTCTTGCATAGTTAATGTGATTTACTGATAGGCCCTTCTGATAAGGTGTTTCCTGATGCTGATGAATCACAAACCAGCTTTACTGTTGAGCTACAACATGACATTTCACATATCGGATTAAACTTTGGCCAAGCATTTCTTGACTGGGACACTTTATGCAACACAAAAAGTCATCTCTTGCGGATTCCATGCAGACTTTACTATGACTTAATTCTGTAGCAGTCAATAAATATTTTCTCTTTTTAAAATGTAAATTAGGTGCTTAAGGGGCAAAAAAAAATCATGTGAGTACAGAGGTACTGAAAAAAAAAGGAACATAACAGCTGAACATCAAGGTCCAAGTGCTTTCCAGCAGTATTTCTCAACAGTAGTATTCATCAATACTGCTCGCAATGGGGCTGGAAAGTGGAAGGTCTTTTAAAATATAATGCAACATGAGCAAAAGAGAAAAAGTCTTTTTAGCTGTTTGTGACCACTTGCACTGAAATTTACACATAAACACAGGAAATGGAAGCAAATCTTTTCCAAATACCGCTGTGACACCAGTGTTCGTATAGCACTGTACTAAAAGCTTAGTAAGTGTTCAATGTGTTCCAATGATTGTTTTTCCTGTTCTTTCATGCAGCTGATTGGATTTGTGTATGCCTGTTACGTGATCAGTATTTTCATGGAGGAAGAGGACAGCTGTAAGTACCGATACACGCTTCTCTATCTCTGGAGCCACAGTACCTGGGGTGAGACTTAGTCTTACATTAACTACCGAGGCGAAGAACAAAGTTTGAAAAATGGCAGAATCTAGTATTCATGTACACAACCAATTTTGCTCAAACACATACTTATTTAGGTACACCTTATTTAGGTGTCAGGATTGTACTTACTAAACTTCTTCATAGGGATCTGTGAACTGCTTGCATGAGCCAGTCACACTGTTGAAAAACACGTGATCCACATTGCATATATAGATGTGTAAGATTTTTTCTATGTACATTTAAATTTTAATCAAAACTCCAGAAGACATTTATTCTGTTTTCCCAAATGACAGCTTTACCAGCAGTAAAGTTAGTGGAGATGACAGGTCAAGCCATTTACAGTGTGCAATATCACTCTGATCAATAATCAGACAGACCTATTCAACGATGACAAGGAACTAGACCATGCATCTAAAATGCTGACCCCATGTTCTTAACCTGCCTTTGTCAATAAATCCCTTATATACATACCTAGATTGTTTAAAAAGTTGAAAATGTGCACACCTTTAAAAAAGTATTTATCAGAAGTCATTAAATGGGCATCGGAAAAATCTGAATGTGTTGTACTTCTGATAGGATGCTGTGTGAAAAGAGACTGTAAGGATTGCCTGACAAGGTCACCACGCCCACATGACTAGTGAGACTGAAATAATATTGGATGAGCAAAGATGAGCAAATACAAGAACAAGTCGATGCTGAAAACAGACAACGTGTGATCATGTCAGTTACTTCCTCTCATATATGAGGAGTTAAGCAGCAGAATATCTACCTCTAGGGTAGAAAAAAGGAACAAATGCCAATACTATTATGTGGATATAGGATAAATAATACACAACTAAATATTTATTCATAAACTTTTATTCATAAATCTTAACTTTTTTTTTTTTTTTGTTACTTCACAGAATAGCACTAGCAGGTAAAACGAATATAGGAGAAAATATCACTTCTGTTTCTGGGAAAGCATTTGATAATACCTGGAAAATCTTATTAAAAACATAATTCAAGTAATTCATGGCTGTGATGGAAAAGCAGACGTTTTGATTGAAAACAGGATGAAGAACAATAAACAAAATACTATTGCTACAAACTGTACGACGTTCGGTTCTCCATCGTAATGCAACAGACATTAGTGTCAAATCTGTTTGAACACTTCCATTTAGTTTTCTAACAGGAAGAAAACATATCAGAGATTTGCAGGTAAAACTGAGTGGGAAGGAGTCACGAGCATGTTGCTCGCATAGCACACTGTGAAAAGGGGCACAGAGCCTGGACAAAGACTGATGCTGTTAAGGAGAAATATGAACGCTTGGAGAAGCAACGTGCAATGTAGGTCTGGAGGATGAGGAAAAGCCCAGACAAAGCTCCCTTGGAAAGCCAGGAATTGCCAGTTAGTCAGGAACCAGTAACACAGGGTAACAGCAGCGGATAATGCAGCAGCAAGACAGCTGTATGGTCTGGGGTGTATGAACAGAGTCCTTAGTCAGCGAAATCCAAAGACAGCTCCTTTCCATACGGCTGTGGTGAGTCCTGGCAGTAGCTAGGGCTTCGTACAGATATCTGGAAACTTTATTTATGAGACAATTACTAACTAAATTCCTGGAACAGGGAGGCTTCATTAAATGATGGGGAAGGCCAGCAGACTGATAAAGAAGACACAAACTACAATGTCTTGGAAAGAGTAATAGTGTGTGTGCATGCACACCCACATGCAAACACAGATATATCTGTACCTGGGAAGACAGACTCTTCACTTTTTACACAAGTATGTTGTATTATTGTTGGTTTTGTTCAATCCTTTATAGCGTGCGTCACACTTTCATGCTTTATGCATGTGCGAAAGACAGACAAAACTCCCACCAAAGAACACAGTGTGTTCCTGGAAAATGCAGTCACCTGCTAAAGAGTGCACACGGTTTATATTCAGGGCCTCACAAGGTGGTTGTTGGCAAGTTAAGGACCTTGTTCACTTAGAAAATATGTCTACTTCAGAAGACTTGGGGCAAGGTCTGTCTTTGACATCCACAGCCCAATCTACTTTCCTCTGACAGCGAGCCCACCTTACTGTCTTATGAGATTTTTTTTGTGCCGTATGATACCAATGGAAATTTAAATCACTGGGAATGGAGAACAGCTGACATATTTATTGACCAGTAAATCACATCAAGTGCTAAAGTGATCCAGTATGTAAAACTAACCCAGTGTCCATTCTCCACAAAGGAATCGGATATCCATATTTAATTTCAGCTTGTCTTCTAGAACTGCCAATGGAAATTTTGTGTTTTGTTACAAGTGAAAATCATCTCACTCATCTTAGAAAGTATGGTGTAATTTACCTCAATGTCCTTTGTTAGGAATGGGCAAGTTTCCCATTTTCTCTTGTACTTTTACGTATAATCTTCTTGACTCCTGTATCAATAGATTTTTTTAGTTAGTGGAGGATGACCTGGGGCAGCGGCGAGAGCGGTGTGCTGGAGGTGGAGCAAAGAAGCAGAAGAGATACATTTAGGAGATTTTACAACCAGTGGAGGGAAATAATCCTAATTTGTTACATTTTTATTCTAAGATCCTGAATCCAATCAAAATCAACTAAATAGACCTTCAGTGTCTCACTTTTTGCTAATTTGTGTCTTAATGCCCATTTGTGTTTTAGAGTCCTCTATGCTTATAGATAAATATATTAAATACAAATGTTAACTCATTCATAGCAATCCCACAGATATATTTTAAAAGAAGAAATTTCTGTGTAAGGCACAGTGGTAAAATGGTTTGGTCTGGTAATTAGCTGAGAAGAACAGGACTTATTCTGGGAAAAGTCACATTTTTAACTTGCAACATAATGAACAAAAATTTGTTTAAAAGAGAAGTACAGCGGTGCTTCAAAACAGTCAGGTTAAAAGTAGACACTGAATACATCAGGATAAAAGTCCAAGAAACTCTAACAAAAGAGCAATTTGATTCATTTTAATATGATGCATCAGATTCTTTTCTTAGGTAGATGCAGCTATTCTATCATATTTTTGCAGTAGTTTGCACAGAATAAATCCTCAGCCATCTGAGAGTCAAACCCTCCCTAATTAAATAAATATAGTCTCCAATATTCAGTGCATCAAGTTAACCCCAGTTCTTGGTCTGAAACCCATCAGGCAGACTTAAAAATTAATAATAGCTGCCTGTTTAGCCTCTGTGCGGTGCTTAAATGGATTTGGAGCCAGACATTTCAGCTGATGGACACTTTTCTGAACAGTAATAATGCTTGAGGAAACATTTATTTCCAACTATTGCTCACCTTACCTACGTTTCAGACTGTAGTTAACTTTTACTTAGATGGAAGATGATACAGGTCAAAAGGAATGAAAAAGAAGACATGTAAAAGGCACACTGCTGTAGTGGGCTTAATACCTTCCATCATTCATCCTAATGAAAAAGTCTATTTATATCTCTTCCTTTCATTTTTTCTTTTTTTTCTTTGTAGATCTATCAATCTATATAAGGCCTTTTGAAGGAACAAAATATGTGAAATCTGTAATCATCAAAGCCTGTCACTATCCTGTTTGTGAATCATTTTCTCCTAAAAATGAACTGAGGACTTTGTTGCCACCTTGTCAGAGCTACCGAATGGTTTTAGTAAAGTGGAGTCTGGAGACTAGGCAAAATGCATTGTTAAAATCATTATTAAATTTCTAAGTAGTTTCTGGACTTTTTTGAGAAACAGTTGATAGCACTATTGCTGCTAAATACTAGTTCATAAATATGACATTGACATATGTCAGAAGTGATAGTTCTGTACTGTATGTCAATTTGTGGAGTGGAAGCTGAGTTGCATACAAATTGCATAAGGGAAAAAAGTGAAATCAGAGGGGAAGATTTGCCACAACACTGCAATTGCAATTTCAGTGTTTATTATAAAAACAAGACTGAAACACCAAAGGGTCAATCTGAGGAAGCTCAAACCTCTTTTGTGCGTGAGCAAAAGTAAAGGAAAGGGCTTCCATTCACCATGAAGGAAAGCATTACGCCCTAAATGAAACCACAAAAACAAAATTAATAAACAAAAAATTATTATTTTTTCATCTCTCCCCTATGCTAGTTGTATTCAGAGCTCAGCTGTACTTTCAGAACAGAGAGAAAGATGAATCTGTTTTTAAAAAGGAAGAGTTTCCCCATACTGTGGTATCAATAGGAACCTCCATCTGCCGTCATTAGACAAATATTAAGTAAAGCAAGATACGTTATTACCACCGCTGAAAAACTACTGCATTGCCTTAGCTGACATATGGCATTACATTTATACACACCATTGAGCATCTGTTGGCAGTAATCAAATGAAAGAGAAAGAAGTTTTTCCTCACATTTAATTTAATATTTGCAATTACACAGTAGGTCCAGCAGTGATAAATTTCTTATAAATATGTTACTTTTTTGCGTAATCAATTAAGAACTACCAATAGCTATTATTAGCAACAGACCTATATATGTTTGTATGTGTCATTACCTATATATATAAATATACAAGTTTTCCTTAACCAAGGAGTTTTTGATAACCCACTACTAATATCTTTACATCAATTGCAATTGCCCATATGGTTGAGTCAATTTACATTCTAGAAAAAATAATTTTTACCATAAAATGGTTAATATCAATGATGACCAAGAAGGAGGATCCTGCACTACACTTCTGTTGGGCAATACAAGAATCAAACATCCCCAAACAGCAACGATCCTAAATTACCTCATTGAAAATGAGGACTTCTGAAACCTGCCAAACAGCAGCCAGCAGCACAGATCATCACTGGGCTTTAGCACTCACTGCTCTCACCTTTAGGCCATAATAACTTTAGATACTGAAACAAAATTTGTTGTTACTGACCAATGGATGAATACACATGACAGACTTTTAGTTATAAAGGAGGTTTTATTGCCTGCCACTGAAACAGTGC